ACATTAAAATTTTATGATTTATTTCACATATGCTCATTCATTGTCCGATGCACTTGCTTTCTTCTTCTTTTTCTTTTCTTTCTTTAAAATCTACAAAAAATAGATCTTTATTTTATTTTTGAATATCAAATCTTCATTATTAAAAATATCTATTAAAGTGAAAACAATAAAGAAAAAGAATAATAATTTTAATAGAACATGTCAGTTTTTAATCACAGCAAAAAAAAATTTCTTGTGGTTTTTGAAATAAACATTTAAGTTTTCTAATTATGAATATTCCTTTTGATGGCAAAATTTGATCCTTCTCTAGAATTTTATTTTGACAGTGGTAAATTTTGTAATAAGGTGATCTGTTATATCAAGCTTTTACTTTGAGTCTGAAGAAATTGATCTGTTATAATGAGTAATATGGAAAAGTCTTACTATACAATAGAATCACATTAGAACAATCTTGATAATGGACATGGATAAATATTTGCAGTTCACAGATCTTTTCTCCAGGTCTACATTAATGTATTTTTATCTCATTGCAGCAATCTGTTCTTGCAAATGTAATGAGATTCTACTGTGTATAATAATACTGACTTGTCCATTACTGTATATTGACATTACAACTAAAATTTTGTCCACAATGTATAAGCCAAATTTTTATTAAACTTGTAAAAGCAATGTATCTATTGGTAGATCTAAAGCTTTTATTTTCTTTTATGATCCATGGATTTGCTTTACACAAAAAAACCAAAACCTGTCACTTAAAAAGAAATCTAAACAAAAACTAGTCAATTAGATTTTCACATTACATCTAGTTTTTGTTTCATTTTCTATGTCAATAAAACAAATCTTGTGTTATTTTTGGAAATAAAACAATTATTGCAACAAAATAAAATGGCGACTAAAAAGTCTGTAACAACAGAATAGTGGTCTGCAGACCCAAAAAATAGTCTGTAGTAACAAGAGTCTGCTACAGCAAATGAGTTTTCTTATAATTTTCCTATACTTTTGGCTAGACTGACATCAGCCATCCATAACAACATAAGGTCCATTATATCAAGCTTTTAGTGTATAACCACAAAAACAAAAAACAATCAAATAGGTGGAGATATGCTCAAGAAAAGTAGACAAGACTATCTCAAGCTAGACAAAAAAGAGAGAGTTGCTTCATTGTTATCATATTTGATGGCAATTTTCAATATTTTTAGATAAAAAAAAAAAACAGAAAATACAGTCTGATTTCATCTTTCTCTTTTTCAGAAGAAAACATACCACCTGAAATTCTTGGTTCTCCATTCAAGAGTTCTTGGCTTTTCTGATGTCAGATCAGTTTCAGGTTCCATTATGAGCTCTTCAATGTCATCTTCATTCACTTCCAATTTGAAATCTCTAGCAGTTGTCAAAATTTCATCCATAATTTTAGGGACATCTCAGTCTCCAAGCAGAATTCAACTGTCATTGAATGACTTCTGGCTGTGCCTTTTGAATGAGTCAGATAGCATCAAGAATATATTTTTCTTTCCAAAACATTTTTAATGTCATCATTGAGGAGAACTGGCATGCTTCAAAACACCTTAGATTCTATCTCATCATGTGTGACAAATGACAATTGTTTCTTCAGTTCTCCAAAAATTTCTCTAGCTTTCTCTTGAATGATAGTCATACTAGTTTCCTTTCTTTTATCCAAATTAAAAGCAATCTCTCCATTTTTTCATGGATGGCATATCTTTGTTTCTCAGATGTAATTTTTGTTACTCCTTTAGCTGCTTGTGCTTTCTTAGCTAAGACTGTGCCTACTGTAGACCTCTTCAAGCCATACTGTCTAACAACATCAAACATCATCTGCCCATTCTACCTTGGCTATTAATTCGCTTGGTTTCTTTGGTGAGCACAATTCTTGATACTCCACACTTTTTAGGCTCCATAATATTATAATATTAGTTTCTTTTTAAATTACAAGTTCAGAAAAGCACTTAGAAAAGGCTGGAATTACAAGGAAGAGTTTCAAAGTTTGGAGGAATATTATCTGATTGGTATCAGGTTAATTAATTAAGCATCAATGTCGACATCTCCCGCACTCCGAAAGGTTTTGAATTGTCACCTGGAAACAAGGGAAGACCAATTGGTATTCATTATTTTACGTCATTTCTTGTGCTTGTTCTGTGAGGTGTTTGTTATCCAAACATTAAAATCTTTCATGAAAGTGTTTGTTGTCCAATTTGTTTGCAGTCTGAACTGTTCATTAACTGATTACCCACTGTATTTGTTTAGTTTTAGTCTGAAGTCAAGTTTTGTCTACTTCATTATTTCAGGTTTGGTTGATTTCCTTGTAACAACAAACTAGTCAATATTGGTATGAATCCTTCCATCTGTGTAACTAAATTTGTAAAATTGCTATTAACAGGGTTCCTACTCAAATTTTTGTTTGAAATTCCACAACTCCCTGACCAACTCCAAACCTTGCATCACTTACAGTATGGCACAGTGACAAAGTAAAACAGCATTTGACTTACTATGCACATAAGCTATTGCTTCAACTTTTTAATTAATAATTCAGCAATTAGAAAAAATAAAATGTTTTATCCTGTCATTAATTTAAAACATTATTCAATAACAAATGTTACTGAAGAATTCATGTACAAATGTATTTATTAAATTTATTAAGGGATAAACTGGAAACAAATCATAAATTGTTTTGTTTGCAATCAAAAATAAATACCATATAAATTAAAATTATTTATTTGTAATTTTTTGTACTTTATTGTCATTTCATTAACACTTACCATTTGCACACTCAATTTGAGGACAATTGTGCTGGATTTGGAGTTGAAATATTTCAAAAAAATTTTAATGAACGTTAGATTATTGAAGTATTACAGATTTTCTTCTCAAATCCATAATACAGCATAATTAATATTGCCATATGTTATAATTGGGACTTAGTTTTTAAAATAAATCTGCACTAATATTGATTGTTTATGTGAAGAAATATTATAAAATGAAACAAGGAGCAAGCATTGCCAAATGCCAGGGATCAAACTATCAGTAAAAAAAAGTAAATGTCTAACAGTTTTATGAACATATCTTGTTAGTACTTGATAGGCCTCCTTGACATATAAGTCAAGTTTTCACTCATAAGAACACATTTTCTGGAGAAAGTCAGTTAACCTGAGTCATCCTGGACAAGTTGAGACAGGTATGAGGCAGTCTCACAGGTAAGCTACCAACTTGGCTCCAGATTGGTCGACCAATGGATCTAAACTTAGATATAAGGCAATGTAATTGTTTGAACCAGGAAGAAACAATCCTGGCCTAAGACTGTGTTGTGAGAAGCAGATAAAAAATATTGCTGTGTATATATTGTAAACCAGTGTTTCTCAACCTCTAACAAATCGTTGCCCCCTTCACGTCAAAATTCCGATGCCGAGGGCCAAGGCTAATGCCAAATTTGTACTGCATTGAATAGTATACTAACCAGTATAATGTTATTTGTTTAATTATTTTACGATATAACAAATAAAATATCTAATTATTCTTAAATATTTGTTTTTTGCCCCCCAAAATATAAATTGTTACTAATCGCCCCTCAACATGAAAAAAACGCCCACATGGGGGCGATATCGCCCCCGTTGTGAAACACTGTTGTAAACAGTGTTTCTCAACTGAAACAGTGTTTCAGTGTTTCTCAGTGTCAAATAAATGGACTTAATCTGAATTCAATGAGTTGTAAGGTGTTCTTTCAGGCAGACCACAGATCCAGAAATTGAAAGATAAGATTCAAATTTACTTGTTAATTGTAATCACTGTATATTTTATTTTGTTTAAAGGTCTGATTTTGAGTGATTTTAAAATACAGTAGAGCATTGATTATCCGACTCGATTGGGGACTGGGGTTGGTCAGATGACTGAAAAAACAAATAACCGAAAAATATGAAAAAATACATTATTAGTATAGTATATTAGTATATCTCATGTAATTAGTATATCGCTATTAACCTACTTTGCGTTGAATTTTCGTTGATGTTAAGCCTAACAAAAATTTTCTAAAAATAATAATTGTCGCTATTGTATCATTAAAAATTAGAAAATTAAGGCTTGTTTAAATACTGGCTCCCTTCCATGGTCAAACCAGTGTTGCCAGCTAAAACACATAAAAGTACTATTAAAGTAGCCAAGACATAGCCAAATATTGTAGCACCACATCACTAGCAGACATTTGAATTTGCCGACTAGAACGGTCGGTTAATCGATGCTCTACTGTACCATCTTATAATGAAATAGAATAAGTCTTATGTAAAAATACTTAATTATTAAATCTAAAATTGGGACAGATAACCTGTCTGAAATGCATACCAACAATGTCAATAGTGTATGATAAGTCCTCTGTAAAGCCAAAACTTAGTGCTCATAGTTCTATATTGTAACATAAGGACAGACTTGTGAGGTGTTGATTACAATATATTGTATTTAGACTGTAACTTTTTGTTGGAAAAATTTAATCTCCTTGCTAACAATTGGAACCTTTCCATTGTCAGTGTCATCACTATATGAGACAATCTTACCATATTGCCATCCTTCCCTTCTGTACAGAGAACAAATACCAAAATTAACCTTTTTTTTTTTTTTTGTTTGCTGTAATTAGCTAATAGTGACTGATCCCAACAAGAGAGACATATATACAACAAATTTCAAAAGTAATAAAGAACAGTCAAATAAAAATCTTTCCAGAAGGAGAATTGTCAGTTGGAATCATGTCAGCTCTTTCCAACTATTCTGTTCATCAAAAAAATAGGTTTTAACTCACAATCTGAACATTCATGCTAACTAAAAGATCATACTTTGTCTAAGAAATTTCTTCCTGCCAGAAAGCAAATTTGCACAGTGTAGTAATAAGTTTTTTGTGTTGGGCCTTGGCTGGATATCTTTCAATTTTTTAATGTGTGTTCATATTAATTAAACTTTGAAACATTTATTCTTTTTCTCTACAACTTGTCAATGTCCACTTTTCTATCAATCACTTTTGTTAATAGTATCAACAATTTCCATTTTGATTGTAAGGCACACATCACAATTACAGTTGAGGTTTGCATACACCACCATTCAGACCTGACTGATTGGTTCTTGTGTGAAAAGTACTGTACTTAATATTCATATTCTAAATTACAATAAGGTATTGAATGATTTTTTACTTTAAAGGATATATATTTAACAAAAAAAAATAATAATAAAATTTTGTTGAATTTAGGATGGATATCATCTGCTGGCTGGCAATTCCTAATCGTGTATAAAATAAAAATAAATAAATAAATTTTATCCATAATAATAATTTAAAATAAAACATTACCTGTTCTGAAGACTGTAAAACAGTACTGTCGTCATCTAATTTCATTTTCTTCTTCTTTTTCTTCTTTTCTTTTTTAGTTGTCATTTCTTGTGGTGCTTCTTCTTTGACACTTGGCATAGCTTCTTCTGTAGAACCATTCTCACTACTGCTTGCACTAACATGTCTCTGAAATGACAATTTAAAAAAGTTACATCTTTAAGCAGGTCTTTTAATTGTAAAATAAATGAATAGTGCTTACATGCAGCCATTGATAAAAAAGTTACACAACCAGATAAATTTTCCAAATATGGCAAAATTTGCACACAGCTGTTTCACAACTAATTATTCACAGATGACATGTTAATGATTACAGTTGTTGTTCTTCAATTATATGAGGTAATGTCATCAAAATGCCTTAAAATTCTTACTGCTTAGCTTTTAAAAAGGCTCAATGTGCTCAAATTTTTAGTTTACCCATAGTTTAGAAGCCTTTCATTGCATCATATGGGCATTCCTGGTGTTCAAAGACATTCTCAAACTCTTTCAGCTATGCAGATAGGCATATATATCAGACAACCTCTGGATGCTTTAGACATATCTGATTGTAACATGCATTGCAATATGAACAGTTACAATTGCTCTCTTTGTTCACCATCCAGGAAGATAGATGGAAGCTATGCCAGAGACAGTTCTCTAATACAGCTTTCACCTATATTCCCATACCATTGGCAAGTGACTAAATTTGCATGCATGACTACACATCCTGCCATTACTCCCAATATTATTGGCTTTATTTGCAGTGGTACCATGTCAGAGAAGCATAGACTGCTATGGACTGACAGCATGTTGTCTTTAACAATGAATATAGTTTTTTTGAAAATAGACAACTACTGGGAGTACAATCCTTTACTGCCAAACAGCACAATGCCCCACTGGCACTAATCATGTCAAGATGGTGGTCACCTCTTAGTGGTGATACGAGGGAGATTGACATACAGTGATAAAGTCGGGAAATCCTGTGCACAGATGTATTGTCTTTGATGACAAGTTTGCAAATATCAAAATAATGACAAGTTTTTAGCAAAATAATGCTCAGCCATATACAACCAGGGTTCCCCAGAAATGTCTGTCATGTTTCCACACATCCTTGGCATATCTGATTTCCAGAGCCATTGCCCATTGATTTGTGAGACGAAACGAGATGCCAGCTTCAGCAATCTACAAAGGGACTGAAGTGGCAGGTGCAACACCAGTGAATGAATATGTCACAGGCTAGCATATGGTGCCTGTAAGGCTCTGTGCCAAAACAGGTCTTACAAGGTACTAAGGTTTCTTTAAAGTCTTTGCTATAATACAGTCAACCCCCCTATAACACTGTTGATTATTCCGTTTTATATGAATTCCACGTTGCATGAGTCACTTACATTTTACAAATACGCGTGCCGGGCTGTGAACGGCTAATGCATTTGTAAAATCTAAGTGGCTTGTACAACATGGAATTCATATAAAACGGAATAATCAAGTGTTATAGAGGGGGTCGACTGTATTATAATTATTGTCAATATGTTCATATTAAAAGTTTCATTTGATTCCAACATCTGATTCTTGATGCATAATTATTTTTGTCAATGAATGTATTAAAAAAAATTATTTTTGAATAAATTAATATTCAGTAATAAAGTTAAATATTGTTTATCAAAATATATAAGTAATTGAGTGATTTTTTTATAGAAACAATCATCTATACACTATATTGCACAGTAACTTTTTAAAGGTTTATTAAACTGAAAAAAACTAATGTTTTTGGCCACATTTGATTTGTCTGTTATATAAAAAAATATAAAGTGGCTTTTGGTATGGTGAGTTAATAAGTAATAAATTAATACCTTTCGTGACACTTCTGGAACTTCTACCGGTTCTGTCTTAATATTTGCAACTGGTACGGCTCCTTTTCTAAAATTTAGATAACATAAAAGAAAAATTTGTATTTAATGTTTGAATCTGAAATTAACTGTTAATGATAAAATAATAAATAGTTTAAACTTTAAATACAATAAATGTAGAAAATCAAGCTGTTTCAAATTGTTATATAGAAGGAATTTAAAAGAATATTTCAACTCCTTTGTAAATTAGTATATCTTGGTATATACTGATTTATATAGCTAACATTTTCAGACTTTTGAAAGGCCATGATCAGGCTGTTAAAATAAAGGAACAATGTTTCAAATACACTGTCATTGGTACCTTATAGATTTGTTAAAAAAATAAATACAGTGGTACCTCAGGATACGAAATTAATCCGTTCCGAAACTGAGATCGTATCATGAAAATGTCGTAAGCTGAATCATTTTTCCCCATATGATTACACGTAAAACCAAATAATTCGTTCCAACACGAAAAACATACTCAAATTAAAGCCAAGTAATACATTAAAAAAAATAACTGTAGTAAGAAAAACAAATGAAAAATGCGAACTAATGTAACGTCGTATGGTGAGTTTTTGTTCGTATCGTGGAGCAAAAATATGTTCGAATTTCATGTCGTATCCTGAAAATTTCGTATGCTGGGGCGTTCGTAACCTGAGGTACCACTGTAT